AGATGGCATCCTATGTCCATTACTTTTGAAATGAACACAGATTTAGGTTCCTGAATTTGAGTTTGATATATTTTGCTTGACTTTGGTATTTTATTCATCAGCTGTTTGAGAGTGGGGGGGGGGGCGAAGAGAAAGCGTAAGCAGAGGTGGGCTCTTTAAATCGCTGCGTGCTAATGAAAACATTCTCGATCTGATTTATATCCAATTCCTTTTTTTATTCTATTTTTTTCCCTCTACTATGTACGGTCTTTTAGGGTTACTGTCTGGAGTTTTTTTACATTTTGCATTGCCTTCAGATATATTTCTGTTCCTTCTTTTTTTTATTTAGGAAAGCCTCACTTCCAGCCTATTACGGCGAGAAGGCACTATTTATCAGAGGAAGAATACCCTCGTATGGTTAGTGAACCATTTACTAATGCAAATGAGAATACTGATTCATTTTCTAAAGAGTTAAAAAGTGATAATTTTTCTAAGAGTTAGAAAGTGATACTTTTCTGTGCTTCGAGATTTACCACACTAGTTTTCATTTAAAATTTTGTTACTTCTTACTGTAAATAGTCTTTATTGTGTTCTTTTTATTAATTTTAAACTTTATTGATGGATTTTATCAATTAAAACTTTGGAATAATTTGAATAGCACTTCCGAAAATTATTTTACAAGATAAGCAATTTTTTAAGTATATTTTCATGTAAAATAAAGAAAAAAATTTTCTAAGCGCTAATTTTAACATATATGAGAGCTCAAATAATAATCTAAAATGATACCAAAAATTACGATGCTAGAAGCGAAACTTTTGTTTTTCTGACTTTTTTTTATAAAATTAGGCTTAGCAATGCAAAACCTCCATCCTGTACAGTGACTGCCTTTGATTCTCTTCCGTCTCACACGAGCATCTTAAACAAAGGCGCGCCGTCGCGAAAAGGTTAAGGGGCACTTATTGAGATAAGTTTTTATTAGCTACTTTTATAAAATAATATTAATTTTTTACTGATAATCATCAGTAAAAGGGATAGTTTTTTCAGTATTACTGGTGACAGTATAAACTAGCAATTTTACTATCTTTAATTGTAAAATATATGCTGTATATGCTTGACTAATGAACATCCCTAAGAAGAAGGCTAAGCAAGATAGTTTTTCAATGTTACATTGAAATTAGAAATAATTTTTCAACTGGAGCTGTGAAATGTTATATATGAAATTTTTATGAACTTTAAAGTATGGGTGATATTATTGCACAGCTAATTACAATTTGCATTAAGCATCTGTATGGCATGCTAACTTTTATTTAATCACGAGATTTGTTGTCACCCGATATATTTTACTTTGCCATTTAAAAATTTTGTTTTTTTAGTCTTCTTTGAATATTATTGAAATGGATAACAGGTTATAACTGTGAAAAGCAAAATTAGTTATTATACAAATTTGGGCTACAAATGTTGTTTAAATATTGCCTCCCATGAGTATCAAAATGTCTTGCTCAAAACGTGTGCAGATGTAAAACAAGAGTAAAATCACTTTTGTTACCCTAAAAAACTTAACATGATCACAGGATCTTAGAAGATTATATCACAGAATATGTAAATTAACTGTATTTAATGATACTACTAGCAGGCAAGCCCGCCAGCTGAGCGGGCTGAAGCCTGCTTATCATTGTTCGTTTTTAAAAGAATTCCCATGTTGACTTTCGCCTATATTCGAAAGTTGGACCGAACTACCAGTGTACGTCGATTTTACCTTTGCTGCAGCCCCTTTATTAACGTATGCATTTACAAGCTACTGCATACACGTTACACATGCGTAAAAATCACGAAAACCCCATGCACCCAGCCCGCTGGCCAGGATTCGAAAGTTGAACCGAACTACCAGTGTCCAGCGGTTTTGCGTGGGCTGTACCCGTTTTTTTAAAGTATGCATCCAGAATATACTGCATACACGACACGCATGCGGAAAATCATGAAAACACCCATAGAGACAGCCCGTCGGCCTTTATTCGAAAGTTCGTCCGAACTACCAGTGTTCAGCGATTTTACCCGGGCTGTGCCAGCTTTATTCGCGTATGCATCCAAAAGATACTGCATACATGTTACATATGTGGAAAATCCTGAAAACATACATGGAGGCAGCCCATTCGCCAGGATTCGAAAGTTGGATCGAACTACCAGTGATCAGCAGATTTGCGCGGGCTTCGCCCGCTCTATTCTCGTATGCAACCAGAAGATACCGCATACACGATACACATGCATAAAATCACAAAAATACCCATACAGACAGCTCTTTAACGGGTATTCAAAAGTTGGACTGAACTACCAGTGTTCAGCGGTTTTGCGCGGGCTGCGCCCGCTTTATTCACATATGCATCCAGAAGATACTGCATACACGATACACATGCGTAAAATCACGAAAGTACACATTCAGCCAGCCCGTTCGCCGTTATTCGAAAGTTGGGCCGAACTATCAGTGTTCAGCGGATTGGCGCGGGCTGCGCCCACTTTTTTCACGTATGCATCTAGAAGATACTGCATACACGATACACTTGGGGAAAATTAAGAAAACATCCATGCAGCCAGCCCGCTCGCTGAAATTCGAAGGATGGACCTAACTACCAGTGTTCAGCGCGGACTGCACCCGCTTTATTGCCGTATATGTCCAGAAAATACTGCACGATAAACATAACACCCATGCAGCCAGCTTGATCGCCTTTATTCGAAAGCGGGACCGAACTACCAGTGTTTAGCGGGCTGCGCCTGCTTTATTTACGTATGCATCCACAATATACTGCATACACGTTACACATACGGAAAATTACGAAAACACCTATGGAGCCAACCCGTTCGCCGGGATTCGAAATTTGGACTGAACTACCAGTGTTCAGCGATTTTACTGCTCAGGCTTTTTGCCAAGTGTAATCGCAAAAATTTTCGGGTATAATATTCAAACAGTAGATTCGTTATTAAAATTCCTTTTGATAAACTTCAACATAATCACACACAAAAGTGCATCAATATATATATTAATGTAATTAATCAATCATAATTATTTATAATAAGAAAACTTTCCATATACAATGTCCAAGCAATAGAAATTCAATTTAAAACCCTGAACGAAAAAAAATTTAGTCAGAATTTAAATAAATAGTTTAATTATTTTTATATATATATATTTTTTTGCAATTAAAATTAAATTTAATATTAGCTTTATGTGAACAGAAACATTTGTTACCAAAAATACAACAATATGTATATTAATGCACTTATATATAATAACAAAAGCAGTGAATGATTACGTAGCTCAGTAACACAAATGAGCATGCTGATTTAAGCTATTAGATATATTAATTTGTATTACTCAAAGTTGCTTTTCTTATTCAGATCCAAAAATCACGAATTGTTCGAAAAATGCACAAAAAATACGTATCTCGGCAACCAACAGTCCGATCGGCTCGAAATTTACGATCTTATAATTGCCAGATTTTGAAAAGAGGTTTGGTCTTTGTTCCAGAGAGATTGGCAAATTAAAATATTAATTAGCATAATGAATAAAAATGCTCTACATTAATTTCGTCATTGGTGAATGGCCTTGACGATTCCCACGACCGAACGGAAACCAGCTCTCCCCTCAAAACCCGTCGCCTTCGATTCCCAACCTGTCCACAAAGATATGGGAAGGAAAGAAAAAGTGAGTATTAGGGCGTTTTTAATTACCTCATTAATTAGGCTCCTAATTCGCAAATCAGTGTGGAATCAACGCCATCAGTCGGTTTATACTCTCGCGGGTTTAAAATTCAAAATTTCAAAGAAATCGGCCGGTAAGTTCCCGAGTTACCGATTTTTTGTGCATTTTTTGGGCTCAATTTCTCTAATTAAGAAAAATTCATATCTTGGGAACCAATAATGCGATCGGCTCCAAATTTCGAAATTTACAGCTCATAGATAGTCAAATGAGGGATGCTTTTTGCTCTAGATGGATTGGCAAATTAGATGATTAATTAGCATAATGACTAAAAATTCTCCATTACGTTAATTTTGTCCCCCCACTAATGGCCTTGACAATTCCAACTGGAGAACGAATACAACTGCAACCCCTTAAAACCTGTCGCCTTCGAATCCCAGCCTGCCCACAAAGATATGGGAAGGAAAGAAAAAGGAGTATTAGGGCGTTTTTAATTACCCTATTAATTAAGCTCCTAATTCGCAAATCAGTGCAGAATCAATTCCATCAGTCGTTTCATCATCTCGCGGGTTTAAAATTCAAAATTTCAAAGAAATCGGTCGATAAGTTCCCGAGTTACAGATTTTTTTCTGCAATTTTTGGCCTAATTAGCATCTCTGCTAATTAAAGTCGCACAAAGATGCCAATGGCCAAAATGGCGAGCCACGGACGTCCTGAATCCAACGGTATGCTCCTCTAAGCTCTACACGCAGCCGTTCCAGAGAAAATGAGGTTACAAACAAACAAACAGACGCACACAGATTTTAATAGTATAGAAGAAGATATAATTTGACCATGGTTGTAATTTATACATTAGTACTTACAATTCATATCTTCAAAGTGAATATATAAATTTAAAAACTTTAAAGATGATACTGAATTTAAATGGAAATATTTACCTGACTATCATTAGTCAATTTATCAGAAGTCAAATATATCAATCATAAGTCAGGAACAAATTTCTTTTTAAAATATAAGCACAGAAAGGGGGGATTGAGCTGTTTTGCAAATTTCACAGAAAACAATTTCCTAAAAATGTTTTATAAATCTTTTTTCCAGCAAATAGTTTGTTAGATCAAAGTGCCATTAAATTTGCATTAATGGATTGAATAACAGAATTACGCTCATCAAGTTTTTGTAAACAAAAGAAATACCTAACTTGACAGGTGAAATATGTTTAGCAAAAACATCATGTTCAGCATTATAAAAAAATGCAAACTACAGCACGGTGTAAAATAATTAAAAAATTTAAAAAGAGAATGTTTTATAAAAACAGAATTAGCACATTTACCTAATTTAACAAGTGAAAATACTTCTTTAAATATTTCTTCAAGCTCTAATCCAACCCACAATGGTTCTTCCTATTAAAAAACAAGGCATAAAAATTGTATTAATAACAAAATTTCTAGTTTTTAGAATTTAAATATTTACTCTTTAACAAAAGATATACAGCATACCAAAAAATATCTTTAATAACAGCCTTCTAGCAGAAAAACCATTAAATTAAATGCTGTCAAATGTTTTTAAGCAGTAAATCTGGGTTTAATGTCATGCTACTAAAATTTTGATTTTGGGGGTTATTTAATTATTGCAGAATATTTTTAGCTATGGGTTAGACTTATAATAATATATGAAAGAAAATGATGTTGAGAAAGGCTTCAGGCATATATGCATACAAGGCACAACAAGGTTTGTATACATTTCTGCATGTGGAAATTAAGTACAGTGGAAGCTCGAGATATGAGTTTAATTCGTTCCAGCATTGAGCTCGTATAGCAAATTTCTCGTATCTAGAAACAAACTTCCCCATTAAAAATAATGGAAATCTAATTAATCCATTTGACACACCCAAAAATCTCATTACCATCTCATCTTCAGTCGACGTATCTGGTGTTTTTCAGAGAAGGTCCAAGTACAGATTTTTAACTTTATCACAAATGATAGCTTCCAACACCAAATCGCCTTTTAACTGCTTCTTGTTAATCCACATCAAAACAGCTTCTCAACATCTTCTAGGGAGTTTTGGACAGTGTTTGAAAATAATGGTAACTCCTTTGGCCACATCAAGTTTTTTAATTTGTTCTTTCATCTTCAGAACAGTGCAGATCGCCGATGTTGAACGCCCATAAGGCTTTACTAATTGCATCACTCTTACACCATGCTTATGTTTATCTTTGATTTCTTTAATTTTAAAGGCCATGGCTTTCTCCTTTATGTGCCACGCATACCAACAGCCTGGTTCTCATCGCTTGTTACTTGAGTGAATGCTTGTATTTAGAGATGAATTTTTCGCTCATACTTTCCTTGTCTCTAGAATTTCTCGTATATAGAGGAGTTCATATCTCAAGGTTCCACTGTAATATTAAGGACCATCAATGAAAAGAATTAAGGACCTTTCAGCAAATAGAAAATGGATATACTAAAGCAATTATCTACACTTGAAAATTAACATCATAATTTTTTTTCCAATTAATTAGCACTAAATTATAAAATTTCTAGAAACATTTATATTTTATATTTAGAACAGTCTCGGTATGACATATTTTAAAAAAGATTAGTGACTTTCTATTACATTTTGTTAAGAGTTAGCTTTATAATAATTTTTTCTTTTACGCCTCATTCCAGCATATACTTGTTCAGTCCAACGGTTTATGCAGATTTTATGTCTGACACAGGTTAAATTGGGAAGGAAAATAACAATCCACATGACTAATAACACAAGCTTGGCTGTTGCTTCCGATTTCTTGCTTAGACCGCCACTGACCAGAACAGATGTAAACACCTGACATTGATATGGTTGGTAAATGTTGAAAGGTAGCTTCACTTTGTCTGACCTAGTTAAGCTGTGTTCACACTAACGCAGTCACATGTAAAGCGTTAACCAATCGGAGCAAGTTCAGAGGCGGCATTTTGCCAGATGACCAGAGACCGCATGAGTTGACTTAACTTTAACTTTTTGACGCATCAGTTTCAGGCATCTTGTTTCAAATGTTCAGTTTATAACACGGTTTTTAAATGACTGAACTTTCAAAAGCTCTTTCTTCTTGATGGGAAAAAAAAGGGAAATGGACTAATCTTAATAAAAATTTCAGATGATAATAAAAAAATGCATATGCTAATAAAATAAATAGCATTGTAAATTATTTAAAGGAAAATTCTCAAGTTTATTAGCAGTAATAAACCTTAATAATGAACAATAAATGATATATGATTGATAATTTTTACAGAATAATGTAAAGCAATAGATTGTTGCGAGAAAATGGTGATGGATTTTGATGTACCATTTCACGTGACCCCAAGTGATCTCATCTCACGTAAACTACGCTACAAAAATCTAATTCTCTCAGTAATTATCTACAGTAATTTCAAGTTAAATCTTAATTTGGAATACAAGTTTAAATGCAAGAATTATTTCAATTCGTACGAATAGTTTACTCGGAAATTAAAACCGCAGTGCTTTACTTCGCTAGTGCATTGTCATTAGAATTGATGAATTTAACCCTTGGCTTTCCCTTTTCTATATTTTTGCCATCAGACGAGCGGTGTGATTGCATCCTAATTGACTTAATTACGGCCCGCAAATGGCCTTAAGGCATAAAATTGAACTATCTGGTAAAAATTCTATGTAATTCTATGCCAGTATTGAAAGGAACAATCAAACTGATAAGAAATGGCAGCGACTTGTTTGAAAATGTAAAAGGTTACCAGCAAGGATATTTCGTTTGCAATCGGTTGTACCATTACTGGTGACTTGTCGCTTGTGCAAAACAGAAAAGTACCAAATCGTGCAAAAACATTTATGGTATTCTACCCCATGAAAAATTTACTCTCCAAAATAGAATCATGCAATTAGGATTTTTTAATTATCATTCAACAAAATTAATAAATAAATAAAATTAGATATTTACAGCGTTGTGATATATACAACAATCTTTTTCTGGGATATCCTATTTCTATTGTCCAAGAGATTTTTTCTGCGATATTCTGACAAAAATTAGTATTCTGCTTTTGAATAAATAGTTTAATGAGCACTAGAAATTCATCGAATTGATGAGATGTCATGAGAAAGTAATTTTAAAAAATTTTATTTCGTTCAAGCGCATTTCTTCAATTAAATTATTTGCATTGCCGTGCTGCAGTCTTCTCTCACATATTAATATAAACCACTGCATTCTGCTTCTCTTACACAAAGCAAGAAGTAAAATAAGTTATAATCGAGCAGAAATTAAATCCATTTTAATTTAAAAATGCAATCGTAAAAAGTCAAAATACCACATAAAAATTTCACCCCCCCCCCAAGTTTCCAGTATGAAGCACCATCTAGTGCGAGCATATGACAACTTTTAAAGTGAAAGTTTCCATGCTGGTGTGAACTGATGTGTCATGATTTCATGTAGATTTACTAGAGTTATAATCAAGTTAATAAACAGTATTTAATATAAATCTCCAATAAGCTCTTGAAGCACCAGAAGTGACATGCTGTTTTGTATTACTTTAAGTCCCATTAGTTTTAAGGAATAGTTTTATGTTAAATTTTTTAATTTTTATGTTGTATCTTACATCCATAATAAGGATTAAGGAAAAGCAATAACTCAACATGCACAGCTAACTTTTAAAGGTTGATAAGAAATAATTAAATCCTTAGATATAACAATCACAATTAATTAAAATTACAATTTATTTCTAAAATATATCCATCAAAAAGGCACTAAAAACATTTTACATCAGTTATAATTTATGTATTGATTCTAAAATGATATCCATATAATTATACATTAAAAGCTATGAAACATTTATGTTTTGCAGAAACAACACACAGCAAAATATCTACGCATCTTTTTAATTTGAAAATTTGAGATATTTTAGGTAATTTACATCAATTTCCTTCACTTCAGCACTTTTTCTACGGTTTATTTGTTTCAATAAATAAGTTAATGTTCCCACTATTCTGTGCTTCATCTTCTAATTTGTTAATATTTCTCTGAAGCCTCTGAATGTACTTCTGAAATATAACTCCTTTCTTTTATAAAATCAATTTCTTCTTTAATGAGTTTCCCCTTCATTTTAAAATTTTCTGATATAATTAAAGAGTTCTGACATTTTAAAGAATAGCTTATATTTAGGATGTATAGAAGAAACTCTAGACTTTATTTCTTAGATAATATAAGTACAGAGAATAAATATGAAATGATATAAGTTCAGGGCTGGTGCCAGAATTCTTAGAATTTAGTGAAGCACTGAGCAACAAAATCTAGGGATGGTAAAAACTTTAGAATTTACTACAGGCACTGAGGTATGCATGGTGCACTCAGACATAAGATGAAACTTTTAATAAATTATTGGTTGTCAAGTTCTTTGCTTGCTTCAATGCTTGCATCTAGTGCAAAAGTAAGAAAATAAAGGGAAGATACACATGTTAAAAGAAAGACTTCTGGGATCAAAAGCAGAAAATTTAAATAATTTTGTTTTCACTGTTTTTTCAAAAATTCTTCAAAAGATAAGAAATTTCCTATGAAACACGTTCCATTACATGTTAATACTGTGAAGACATTTTTCATTTCACCACATTTTTCTGGAACTGTAGGTCTATCTTCCCATTAAATCTTTCTAAATCTTCCGAGATGCTAGATTTAAAATTCCTTCTAACTCCATATGAGCAAAAAGCTACATGATTTGGGGGAATGGGAGCAAAGTGAATTCTCAAGAGAAAACTGATACATATATAAATATTCTGACACAATTATATAGAAAAAAGAACTCTTATAAAAATATAAAAGCTGATAAATTACGTTTAAAATAATTACAGTAGCTTTTTTATTTTATTCTGAAAAGTGTTTTGGAAACTCTGCTTTATATTTATAGCTTTTTTTTATTTTTTTTTATTTTTCAAAATCAAAATATTCCTAAATCACAAAAATTAAAAGTAATGTGATTTTAAAATAAGGCAAGAGAAAATAAAAGTGTCTCATTTTAACATCATTTATTAAATATAATTTTAATGTATTACCACTATTTTTATGATATTTATAAATAATATGTTTATAGAAAAAAATCGTTCAAAAATTCACAAATCTCCAAATAAAAAGAAATGTGCATATAAATTGGTTTTGAAAGCACTAAAATGTTGATAAGTCACCAAATTTAGCACTGCTTAATAAAAGAACTCATATTTCAAAAAAGAGAAATGCTTTCTTGATGAAATATTTTATAAACTCGCATTCGCAAAAATGAAATAATTTCGAAATGTATATGTTTTAATCAAAGAGAGCGCCTCGTGCCTAAAACTGTTTATATTTACCAGTAGTAAAATATTCAAACCTTAACTTATCAAATACATATTTGCCAATACATCGCTAAAACTTATTCCTCAAAATGTTAGTTCACACTCATAATGGCAATCATAAAAAAAAAAAGAAAAAGAAAAGAAAAACACATGGAAATGTCAGATAAGTAAAATTAAAGATCTTTTACTGATTTTGGCTGAAATTAAAGACCAAAAATCATTTCAAAAAAAAAAAAAAAAAAAATTAAGTACTTTCAAATCAGCTACAAAATTGCAGCTGACCTTAAACTAAAGTTATGGAAAAATATTTTAATATGATGACATTAAAAGTATTGGTAAAATAAAAATAAAATTACTGTATATAATAATAAAATGCTTAATATTTCTAATAAAAAACACAAGGATTAATCACCAATGTTATTTATTTTATTAAAAAATGTATAAAATGCGGGAATGGAAGCATATGACAGTGGTATTACATACCATTATTAAATCTAATAGTATAATTCCGAGAGACCATATATCACATTTAGAGGAGGAGGAAATATCATGCAGACCCCGTGCTAAAACTTCTGGTGCCATATACTTAGGAACTCTATCAAATAAAACAAAAGTCTTATGAAGGATAGAAATTTATTTATTACTGTCATAATCAGATAATGAGAATATAAAAACTTAAAAAGCACAAAACTACACTGACATCCAATGCATAAATATCATATTATCAATGTTAGAAGAATAGAATGCCTTTCCTAGTTTGAAACCATTGTTTTTTGTTTGTACCAGTCACTTGTTTTGACAATGGTCAGCACAGACTTACAGCATTCATAGTGGCAAGGAATCAAATAAACCTGTCGTTGGCAAGAGCCTTGAGGACCAGATAGGTGTCAGCTAACTTTAGCTCATTTCTGTCCCCAGTTCTGAGAAATGGCACCCCAGGGGCATGAGTATGAGGGTCTCTCACCCCTCTTCACCAACCACCAACCTCTCAAATGGGCTTTTGGCTCACCACGTATTTAGAGTACACTCATGCAACACAGATACCATACATTTACAAGCATCCCTGTCTTCTCTGGGATCTGGGCCTTTCTGGTAGTTAGAGTTACTATCCACTATCCCACTTGGATGGCTAATTGTTTTTTTTTTTTTTTTTTTTTTTTTCTTCCTTAAATGATGATTAAAGCCTTGTTCATATGCATAGCTTCTTCACATGCCATTCAGTTGAAACAGATGAAAAAGTGGTTCAGAAGCATGCTATCTGAATATGTAATAATCATGCTATCATACCCACTGATTTCAGTACTGGAGGATTATTATTCTGCCACCTACATGGTATAGTGTTTAGGGGTGCCAACTGCAATGCTGAAGGGCTCAGGTTCGAATTCCGGAGAAGGCATGGATGTAAATTGTCTGTCCCCTACTAGGAGGTAACTGTGGCTGCCTATTAGGTGCCTTCAAAATAAAATTAGACCACCACTTCAGGTCAGTAGTCAGTCAGTTGAAATGGCTATTGCCGGCCATTAAAAAAAAGGATTGGGATTCTTGCCCATTTCTTCAGATATTTAATTTTATGAATTTTCTTAAATTATTTTTTCTGCTTTAGTTGGAATTGCACTGCATAAAAGCAAAACAATGGCATGATTTGGATAATTTAGCAATTTTTAATTAGTTTCCATCTGTAACAAGCGTTTTAAGTTTAAAAAAAAATCTGATGTGTACACAACACGACTTCCTTGTACGGAATATTACATTATACACATTTTTTCTTGCATTTCATTTAAACGTATTGGATTGAATTAAATCTTCTTCGCCGACAGCGCATAAACCACAAGATAATAAATGCATTCTTTAAAATTCACTCTAGTATTTGTTTACCATAGCGACTCTGGCGCTAGATTCAATTAACAGTATTATATTTCGTTCATATTATAACTCAGAATGCACAAAATTTATATCATTTAAAGAATATAATTATCTAATCGTTGCCACATGTTCTATTCAAATACTATAATAAAGCTAGAATGATGTATAAAAGAAATTAAGCAAACAAAACAAAAAAGAAACAGTTTTTCACAGACGATTGAGTATTTCTAATTTAATTAATTCAGTTCTCACTTTGCGAGAAGGGAAAAATACATAAAAACTCAAAATATCTATATTAAAAATTACGAAGTAAATCTTAAACACTTATTTCCTCGAAAAAATTCTAGAAAGGATTAAGCATGATTTAATTGGCAATAATAAATGAAGGCATTATCTTTGTTGTTGCGAAGCTAAGTTTCTCTAGATTGGCAACAAATCCACTAGTCTGCTGTTTGAAATGTAAACAATCAATGGCTGCCATAAAAAAGGCTTAGCGGCACTTAAACAACTTTAAAATTGTTGATAATTCTAAAAATATTGCATACAGATTTGCTAAAGGCATAAAAACCTTAACCGGAAGATAAAAACATTATAATTCAATCATTTTTAAAGCAAAAAATGTACAATTTACAAACATATACGAGTAAAGAAACTGAGATCACTGAGCCGGGTAAAAAAAGTGGATATATATATAGATATATTTATTGGTGCGGCCGATTGCAACCAAAATACGAGGTGCACACCTACATGTTATAGCAGTCCTATATGCAAAATTTCAACGTTCTGAGACTACTCGTTTTTGAGCTATGCGAGATACGTACATATATACGTACGCACATACGTACATACGTTCGTACAGACGCCACGAAAAATTCTCTTCAGAATTAATTTTAAAGCAGTTTTATAACTTTTTTTTTTTTTTTTGGAGGAAACGAGTCTTTTATTCTGTCCTTATGTACAGATATCACACAAAAACATCGTTAAATTGCTTTCGATAGCGGTAAAAATGGATATTTTCGTTCATGTTGGTGGATTTAATTATGGCAAAGCACACTAGGGCTATCTGCCTAAAGGGGAGGGATGCCTTCGCGGAGGACTTTCTAAGGGAAACTGGCTCGTATACACGTTACACATGGGGTAAACCATACAAACGCCCATGCAGCCAGCCCGTTTGCGGGATTCGAATCTCGGACCGAACTACCAGTGTTCAGCGACTTTACCGCTCAGCCGCTGGTGGGCCGGATATTTTCGTTGAAATATGCTGCCTGAAACTTTTCGCGATTACAATACTTCCTTTTTACTTCGTACAAAGAAGTAAAAAAAAAAGGGCTATTTAATTATTAACTTATGCACATGACTTTAGGCTTTTCTGCACATTGAAAAAATACCCAAAATAATAATTACAGTAATAAACTAAAGAGCATTATACAAAATCTTAAAATAAATAAAGAAAATGAATTTACGTCACTGCATCTACTAGCTGTGAATAATAGAATTTTTATGCTTATGTGCATATATTTTGGTACTGAAAAAAAAATATAATACCACATTTTTCTTAATTTTAAGATGCAATTTTTTCTCTCATAAACAATTTAAAACTGGGGTTTGTCAAAAAATTAGTATTAGATTTCTAAATATTATTGTACTTTGCATGCACAAAATTTCTAGTTTTACAATGGTGGACTTAAGACAAGTACAGGTAGAAGCTTGGCCAATACATCTGTAATACCATATGTGACTGATATGTTATACCTAAATAATTGATAAGCTTTTGCACCAGCTTGGAATTCTATGGGAGAACATTCTAATTATAGCATTCATCTGGGGTTACTAAATTATGACAAATAGGTTAAAAACTGAAAACCCACTACATTCAAAAGTCGTTAATCCGGACCTCAAAGCTACAAACTTTCTGCGCATGCATCAACGCATCGCATGCACATAATACGTTCACGCATGCACGTTTAATGTATAACGGACATTATAAGCTAAGCTAAAATTATCTAATTATCTATTTCAGTTAATGTTGCAGATTGTATTGTTCCTTAATCTTTGAATTGGATTCGGCTTATTATTTTTTCCAGACTGTTAGAGCAATTTTATAAAAGTAAGTTGGAACTTTCGATTATGTCAAATAGAATTTCCGATACTGGAGCTGCAAAAGGATCTACAAAGGGAAAGCGTGTTTCGATGTCCATCAAACAAAAAGTGGAATTGCTGCAAAATTGGATAAAGGCTCCTTTGTTTCTCTAACCATTTCGAAATCTGTTTATCAATTTCACGCTACTCTGCGTGGAGGGGGGGGGGGACATCGCGGCGCACAATGAACTGGAAGTTGATCTGTGAGCACTATCCTTATCTTCAGGGCAGATGTTTTTATTTTATTCAGCTTATAGTTCCTTACTAAATGTAGTATTTCATCTCGATGTACTCCGTCTTTGATATGATTTAAATCAAATTCCTCATTATTATAAATATCATGAATACAAATCAAATAGTTTTCTGGTTGCAATTTTCTAATTTCGACTATGCGTAATGTATGCTTTACAGCATGCGCGCGCGTTGAAAGAAATGTTTAATAAAGTAAACAAATAAATATTTTAGCTTTTTTTTTTTTTTTTTTTTTTTTTTTTTTTGTAAATTTTGATACCCTTTAGATCATAATTGCTCTTTATTTCAAAAATTATGGTTTCATATTTTTAATTTTATAATTTCTGCATGCCATCTTACCAGATTTAAACTGATGATCTATAATCCGGAATCGCCCAAGTCCCAACGAGTCCGGATTAAAGACTTTTGACTGTAGTACTTTACTGAGCTAACTCTGTAAGAACACATTTCACACTTAGTTCACATTACATAAAATTGCTTATTGCATTTATTTGGTTTGCCCATTTAACTAATGATAATATACAGGATGGCCATGAAAAAATTTCTCCGATATATTAACCTCTAGCAGCCTATCCACTCAACCAATTGAAATAAAATTTCAGATATTATTACCTGAATGTAAGAGGTCGAGATTGTGATAATTTAAAACTATAGAACTCTCATGGTTATGGTTAAAGTGAAAAAATTTCGGAATGGCAACAGCCACTTCTTTCATGCAAAAATTTATCAGTGCATTAGAAAAACCATAAATGTCATTAGAGCAATACATGCATAATGAAAATTGCCAGCATAAAACATTTGCAAAGAACATTGTAAAGGACCAATGACAATACAAGAGAGGAGATGGGGGAAAAAAACTTTTACTGGAATTATGTTTTCAGTGTCTAGAACCATCCAAGATAGTCATATCCCTTAACTTTGCAGCTTTGTGGCCACCGCAATCCCCCGACCTCTCTCCAATGGATTTCTGGTTCTGGGGATATCTGAAATCTAAAGTGTACATATCAAATCCCCGAGATTTCTCAGAATTGGAAGATAATAATAAAATGTGAAGTTATACAGATTCCTTCTGCAATGCTACATTCGTCATTGTTGTCAATACTCTCCCGCACACAATGCATTATCATCAGCGATGGTGGGCACATTAAAAACTGTTGTAATTCCAGCAATTTTTTTTTCCTTTTCTCTCTCTGGTGTTGACATTGGTTCTTTACGATGTTTTTCTGTGCAAATGTTTTTTGCCAGCAGTTATCATTCTTTCAATGCCACATGGTTTTTCAATGCACTGATCAATTTGCACAGGAAATAAGTGGGTGTTGCCAGTCGAAAATTTCTAAATTTTTTCACTGTAACCGCAACATGAGATCTCTATTATTTAAAATCATCATAATCTCAAGCGCATCCTTCAAATAATAATATCTGAAGTTTCATTTAGATTGGTTGAGTGGATAGGCTACCAGGATTCCATATAATGGGGAAGTTTTTTGTTATGACCACCCTGTATTTAAACTAATATTACATCTCTGCAAAAGAAAATCAAATATTTTGAATACATTGGTACACAGCACACTTGGAAAAATATGCAAAATAATGTTAAACAACTGATTTTTTTAAAAATATTTTTACTAAAAGGTACTACTTGACTAAAACTGCTATAGCATCAATTATATTTGGCTATAGCAACAAATCTATCATATTTTGTTTATTTAAACTGGAGTGATGGTTTTGTGATCAGTCATTCAACAGATATTTAAGTGTGCAATCTTCTTCAAACAACACCTTGGTTTCAATAACTAATTTCATCAAGTATGGGAAGTTTTCTTTTATATTCCATAAAGAATAGCTTCTGCATTATTTAATTTATTCAATTCCAACAAGTTAAGACTTTATGAGTGATCTCTTTCCTGAAATTGATTACAATATAACTTTAAAAAAGTCAATGTTTTCCCACAGAAATTAATTTTTTTAAAACTCTCAAAGCTACTGATTTACTACTTTTTGGGGAAGGATGGCCAGTTTTTTCCCCTCTACATTTAAAATACTTTGAAACTTATTTTCATAATCTTCACAATTTTCATTATACCTAATTAAGATTTTGAATTAAGTCCTGTAAATTCATAAGGCTTCAAGTACTTAACAGACAGAGTTTGTGATGGAGTAGCCACTGTTCTGCTGGATTGTGAGGTGAAAGAAAATAACTTCCAATTCAGACTCTGAGAAAATTTCTGCATCAAAATCGCTATTCTCACTTAAATCCACCTTTAAAGTCAGAGTTTTGATAGGGAAAAAAAAAAAAAAGGTAGGCAGTTTAATTAGGCCTAGAGGAGTACACAAGTAAAATTTTGTGAAGATAGCACTTATCGTTTTAATTCTGTGGGTGTGCCCAAAGTGGGCACACTGACTGAATAGAGCTTTGAAAAGAGTGCTGAAACGAGCATTGTTGTCAATGAACTGACCGATAAGATGCGGAGAAACAAAGAATACAGACACTCAGTTGTCCTAGATTATCGGTGAGCCCGGTCTGAGCACACCTAGGGTTCGCCGTTTGATTTTTAGGCAAGATTTCAAGGTAGAAATTTAAAACTAATATAGAATAAGGAGATTAGCATACAGCCAAAAAAATAACATAGACATTTCTTTTCAAACATTTCCTTTTATACCCTAAAAACATCTAGAAGATTTCTTTGAAAAATGAGGGTCTTAAAAAACTAAATATGACTAAAATATATGGACTGGCTTGTGTTGAGCTTCCATCTACTATAAATAAAGAAGGTTCCGAGTAACCTATAAATCTTTTTTCATTAAATTTTTCTGTGCATATAGAAGGAAATTTTTAGTTGTGTCCAGACTGGACATACTGTGCCGCAAAGGGTTAAAAACTTCTTTCTCTTAGATATTGCACTATTAGTTTAACTCTCTTACCCAATGCAAAATATTTATGTCTGCTATCTAAAGAAGATGCAAACTGAATACAAACTGGAGTTCCTAAAGTCACAGCTCACTTCCAATCTTCACATAGAAAAAAACAAATTTGAAGCATCGGAAACTGTTCAATGTTTACATCACATGAAGCTAAGTGTGCATCAGCTGGGTTTTGTTTACTTTATATCATCTGCTTGTACATCTAAATGATTCACCAGAATCAGAAAGTACTTCACGGGCACAAGGTTCAACAATGCTTATGCTTAAATAAGCTAACCGCAGTGGACACAGAGTCATCTAGTGATTTAAAAAATTCTAAAAGAATGTGTATGTATGCCACACCCATCTCGAAGATCGATGAAAGTGGTGTGCACCAGTGCATCACCCAGCTGCTAGCGACATTTGGGACTGATGCATATATGACAACCCGTCTGCAGAGGATTTTTAGTTCAGCAGCATGCTGTTGCGAAGGAGTTAAGCAATGCTTTCATTAACATTACATTCAGTGGATAACGTAAGTCAGTTATGCTGCTATTAGCTAATCTGAAGTGACCTGAGCAACGCAAAATGCATGAAAATTCCCTATATGCTATAGCCCTGATCGAGTTAAAAAAATACTCTAAAATCAACAAGCTGTAAATGCTACTTCACTTCCTTAATAGGACAGTTTGGAAGAACTGTTTTTCAAGTTTCCATGAATCTGCTTCAGTTAAATTTTGGAGGTGGTAGATACAGCAGATCATATAAAGTTAAGAAAACATAACTTTTTATTTTATCATTAAAGACGATTATTTTAGTTTATCATTAAACATGCTAATCTGCAACACCTACATGGATCTGAGATACATTATTCACATATTACAGTCGCAGTACAAGTTTCAACCTTGAAAAGGGATGATAGGAACATGATTTTGAACGATTATACTTAATCAAAATATTTCCACAAATAAGAATTCCAACTGAACATTATAAATATAATTTGAAAACTGAATATAATGAATCAAAATAGAAAAATGTGCAACTAGTTTATGAATTAAGCCTAAAGAAAGGTTAATTACTTAATAAAGAAATATTTATTTATCATCAATTTAATTACCTTCATAGCATAAAAATTATGCAGTGATAAAACAAATGAAATGCTAATATCACATACAAACATAACTGCATAATGGAACTTAACAAAAAATAACAACAGCATTGGTATGATAAATAAAATAAAATAAGAGTATGCTTTTATGAAACTAGTTATACCATATACTCAACAGTTTTTTCTGCTATATTTTACTTCATCCTAATTGTTAAGTTCTCAGTACTTTTTCTATTGCTTTTCAATGTATGGCTTTTCAGGTATTTTAGGCAAGTAGATAATTTACAACAGCACAGCACTCAGAGCTTATGCTGCTTTGAGTAATATGCCTCTTTGGAGAGTTTAATAATAATAAAAAAAACCTGAACTACAATTCAATTACACATGTGAAGAAAAGAATAAAATTAAAGTAAGTAGTCTAAATGCTGGGATAAAATTACTAGTAATGAACAGTGATAGCTATACTACAGATAATAAGTATACAACCACCCACACAAACAAACAAAAAAAATCTTCTAGCTGCTTATTGGATGAAGAAGCAAGCTGTATATGACAACCTAGGGTGGCAAGCTGTATATGACAACCTAGGATGTGCTAAATATGTCAAAAACCTTTAAATTTACAGTTCAGCAGGCTGTTTTACTAGAGCCAATGTATCATAAAGAGCATCACTGATCCTTCTATCGTGGTTTAAAAATTTATCCAAAAGTAATTTTTCAAGCAAATAATAAAAATATAAAGTTTTAGTTACATTTTATATATATATATATATATATATATCATGTATGTATGTATATAAACTTACAGCATCTAAAGTTAAAATTAAATTGGAATCAAAGTAATTATAATAATAATCAAAGTATTAATAACAATATCAACAATATTAATTATTTGAATAGTGTTGAGGAATTGCCTTGCTTTGATTCCAATTTAAATTTAACTTTAGATGGCTTAATTTTATTTTACTTCAATCCTGCAGCTATAGTGCAGGACAGGTTTAAAAATTTTGTTTATAATTTTTAGCCTTTTATTATGTTTTTTTATATATAGAGAGAGAGAAGAGATTTTTCACATTTTAAAATATGTATTTCACTTTAACAATATTTATTACAATTAAACAGGTTTACCCAATAGGAAAAGAGACAGTAGATCCACCTTCAGTCATATAATATAAACCATAATTGGAAAGCTTTACATGACCCTAGAATACAGAACAAGAATGATTTTGTGAACACTATAAAAATGGGAACCACAAAAGTAAAAATACAATGAAACAATATTCTTTTTTTTTTTTAAATTTACATCTAAGGAAATAAAATAAAATTTTCCATTTCATGCACATGCCATACTTTTTATCCAGTACAAAAATAATACACATACAATAATATTTATATAATTCGTATCTACAATTTAAATTCTCATGAAAAAAATGAGCCTTAAAAACAGTTCTGAAAATTCATTTATAACAACATCCAAAATTTAAAAAACAAATGCAGATAAAAAGACTAGGCTAGATTAATTATCTGCTTCAGGGTGTGTCTTTGTGAAAAAAATTTTTTTTTTGAAAAACTAACTCACATTTACACTCATGTCCATAAATTAAGGATAATTCGGAGACACGCAGAAATCGAACTCTAAAATAAATATATCACCTGTAAAATCACTACACACATCTTCAAGAATCATATGCAAATTTCAGGAAGTAACTAGATGACACCGATGATACGTCACAATGACGCGAGAGTAATATCACTACATATAAGGAATACAGGCAAAGAAGTAAAATTGTTCGCAGGCGCTTTATAAGCATTTCAGCGCAATAACCAAATAGTTATGACACAAAGGACGCATTTGGATGATTTTTTACGTGGTAGAATTATCAGCCGTCTTAAATGTGGGCGTACACAACTGGAAGTATCAAATGAACTTGGAATTGCCCAGAGTGTCATCTCCAGGCTTTGGCAACAAGTCCAAGATAATGGTAATGCTGTCCAAGATGATGGTATTTGGCAGTTATTGCCAAAAGAACAGGCGGAGCACAGCCTCAGACCTGTCTCATCAGCTCTCTTCAGCCACTGGTACAACAATTTCAAAGCAGACCGTGTACAGACGCTTAGGGCAGATTGGTCTATATGCTCGTAGACTTGTCAGATGCGTTCTACTTACTGCAACTCACTGTCGCCTGTAGTTAGCCTGGAGTAGAGAGCATGCATTGTGGAAATCGCAACAGTGGGCTTGTGTGATGTTTTCCGACGAGTCCAGGTTTAGCTTGCAGCCTGATTCTCGTCGGACTTTCATATGGAAAGCTCCAGGTACCCGTTACCACCAAGAAAACATCATTGAACGACACCGTTACGGTGATGTAGGAGTGCTCGTTTGGGGTGGAATTATTCTGGGTTCCAGAACTGACCTGCATGTTCAAATTGGAACCATGACAAGCCAAATCTATTGGGACGTCATTCTGGAACAACATGTACACGTATGTTTTGGGGCACCACGGGCGCAAAATTTGTGTTTATGGATGACAACGCCCGTCCTCACCGTGCAAACATCGTAAGCGAATGCCTTCAGTCAGAGGATATCACCCGTATGGACTGGCCAGCATTCTCACCGGACTTGAATCCAGTAGAGCACGTGTGGGACATGCTTGGGTGATGAGTTGCAGCCCGTCAACCTCCTCCTACATGTCTACCGGAACTTCGGAGGGCATTGCTTTTTGAGTGGTGTAATATCCCCTAAGATCAGATCGATAATTTGATACTCAGCATGCCGAGGTGTTGTACGGACTGTATTGCATTGTCTGGGAGACATTCAACGTATTAACAATCATACCAACCATGTAATATTACATTGTTTTTTTGTAAATAGGGTTTTTTTTTTTTTTTTTTTTTTTTTTGTAATTTGCTCCAGGGATAAAAAAATCGCTAATATTTTTAATAATATCAAACATATAGCATGTTTTTTTGCTCTTTACCTTTTGTTTAATAAATAAGCTTTACAAATAAGTCAAATTTGTTTTGCTTCTGACTCTTCCTCTGCCTGATTTTGCATTATCCTTAATTTATGAACATGAGTGTATATTACTTAATGAGAAAAACTACAAAAGCACCACGTAGTAGGCTTGCTCAGTCACCAGAGCTGAACTTACAATGAACTACCAGTGTTCAGTCATATTACCAACTTGATCAGTGGTTAGCTATAAACAGCAAAAAAATATTTCCTAACATACCACATTAATATCATCTTGTTTTGGGTTATGATGCAGACGTAAGCCCAAAAACATGATTTTAAGACATGAGAAATGCATAACGAATTTTATTCGTTGGCTAAATGGAACAAGAAATGGAAGAATTGTCCCTTTTAGATATGTGAAATAGAGTCAGAAAAAGTTATCAGATGATAGAGTTGTCATCTCGCATAAATTTGCAGTTTCGTGGTGACCGCAATTCCCCAATTTCACTCCGATAGATTTCTTGTTCTGAGGTTATTTGAAGTCTAATGTATACATATCAAATTTACAAGATTTGTCGGAATTGAAGATGCATAAAACTTGAAGTTATACAGATTCTTCCTGCAATGTGACGCTCGTCATTATTATCAACAATATTCCAAATGTTAAGTGCAGTCGTCTGCTATGGTGGGCAGATAGAAAACTTGTAATTCCAAAAAAAGTTTTTCTCCCCTTTTTTCCTCTATTGTTTTATCACTAGCACTTTAAAATGCTCTTCTTTGCATGTATTTTATGTAAGCAATTTTCATCATATGTCTAGCATTCCAATGCCAGTTATGATTTTTCAGTGTGCTGATCAACTAGTACAGGAAAGTGAGGTGTTGCTATTAAAAAATTTTGAAATTTGTTCACTGAAACCATAACTGTGTGAGCTCTATTATTTGAAATCATACCTTCATATAACAATCTGAAATTTTATTTCAACTGGTTGAGCAGATAACCCGCTAGGTGTTCACATACTGAGAAAGTTTTTTTTTTTTTTTTTTTTAAGACCACCCTGTAAAAGTAACAATTTTAGGTACGTAAAAAAATCTGCATGAAAACAAATATAATTACCTCACTATCAAAACGAATACTACTAGGGCAAAGACAACGATGAACTATTCCTTGGCTGTGCAGATATGACAAAGCATCCACAATTTCAAAGATGGTCCTAACTAATACATTTATGCTGCAAAGGGAAATCAATAATTACTTAAATTTAAAAAAGAATTTTCTTTTAGCATAGGCAATTAAATAAAAAAAAAAAGATTAAAAAGCTGATAAATTTTATCACATTTCTTTGCATAAACTGGAAATGCATTATGGTCACAATAAAGTAAGCTGAGGAAAATAATAATTTCTGAATACAGCATGCTTGTCATGGCAAAATTTACATAAATGGTACTGAATGGTATAATAAATACCATAGAAACTTTTCATATTCAATTTCTAAAATTTTAGCATCAGCTTAGCAATAAATGAATCAAAGATGTATTATATTTTTTTGCATTACATTATCATTTAACTGCTATGAAGCTATCAAACATCAAATATTGTGTAAAAATTTATCTGAAAGAACTTCCTATTTTCAGTTTTTCTCTGTAAAGCACTTTGGCACAAAATATTAAGAAAAATAATTTGTCTCCCTTTACACACAAAGATATTTAATAAAATAGCACATAAAATAAAAGTCCCACCCCACTAATACTCACCATTATTTCACTACTTCTCCATATATATTACATTCACACATATTAAAAAAAAAAAATTCAAAGTTTCTAAAAGTAAGAAAATAAACATCTGTGGCCTACTATAAAATATAAATCAAGTTATCTTTTAATTTCTTTGATATCACATTATATTTTTGCATGCAAATCTGTGAATATAAATAATTTTAAAACTTCATTATGCAAATTCCTCAGATATAAGCTGGTAATTCTATATGAAAACACTGAATATAAATCAATATGTATGAGTAAAATATTCATTAAAATGCTCATCCTAAAAAAATTGATATAAAATACTTATAAACAAAAAATTACAGTTAACACCATTTTCATAAATTTTTAGTTGCATTCAATGTAAAACAAGAAAACAAATAACAATCAGTGAAGTATACAACTCCAATTATCCTAACTCCAACTATCCAAATCGCTGATTATCAAAATTGCTTTCAGAGTTTAAGGAAAAAAATTAAGACAGAAACGTAGTGTTGGACAATCAACAATTTCAGACATTAAAAGGAGCAAAGATACACTTTAACTTTGAGTCACGTTTTAAAAAAAAATCAATGCAGCAACAAGAAAAAATTTAGATGTTGTTTTCAAATGTTGTTTTGCAGCAAAGTTCTATGGAAAATACAATTTCGGGTCTGATTCTTTGTGAAAAAGCTAAAATCTTTGCTCAGAAGCTTCGTTGTTCATCCTTTAAAGCAAGTGACAACTGGCTAAAAAATTTTAAGTGCAGGCAGGGTGTAAGTCAAGCAGCTTACTTTCACCGAGAGGTTCAGCAAGTACTGACTTTCAGCACTTGTAAATACTGTACAATACGCTATATAACATGTACGTAAAAATGTTGTCTTTTAATTTTAATTAATTAAAAACTCTTTAAAAAAAAAAATTTTTTTCTCCCATTTTCAACATACAGTAATTAATTAAAGTGTACATAGACTCTTTCTTTGGAAAAAATCTAATTATCCGAATTTTTAATTATCCAAATAGGATCCGGTCCCAATTGATTCAGTTAACTGAAGTTCTACTATACTCGAAAAATTTAATCTCAGAAATAAAATAGTTCACTGCTTATATTTTAGGAAATGCTATTAAATAACTGTATTAGAAAAAAGACTCTTACTTTGGAAACTCTTTGTTGTTTGACATCTGAATTAGAACTGTATTAGAGATAAATTAAAAATACTTCAGAAACAACATTCACTGGCAGATAAAAAGGGGATGCTAAATTTATGAAAATAACTTTTCACACTATGCAAATAATATATATTAATGCAAACACCTTAATAGAAATCACCAAATTTTCATTATGTGTCAACTTCTAGCAACTATGAACATAACAATCTTTCAGTTTTACTAAGCACTTTTCTATGCATTCTTTTTATTGTATTCCAAGTTTCAACAGCTTTTATAGATAAATTCTTTTACTCACTTTTTTTACTGTACAATATGCTATATAACATGTACGTAAAAATGTTGTCTTTTAATTTTAATTAATTAAAAACTCTTTTAAAAAAAAAAAATTTTTTTCTCCCATTTTCAACATACAGTAATTAATTAAAGTGTACATAGACTCTTTCTTTGGAAAAAATCTAATTATCCGAATTTTTAATTATCCAAATAGGATCCGGTCCCAATTGATTCAGTTAACTGAAGTTCTACTATACTCGAAAAATTTAATCTCAGAAATAAAATAGTTCACTGCTTATATTTTAGGAAATGCTATTAAATAACTGTATTAGAAAAAAGACTCTTACTTTGGAAACTCTTTGTTGTTTGACATCTGAATTAGAACTGTATTAGAGATAAATTAAAAATACTTCAGAAACAACATTCACTGGCAGATAAAAAGGGGATGCTAAATTTATGAAAATAACTTTTCACACTATGCAAATAATATATATTAATGCAAACACCTTAATAGAAATCACCAAATTTTCATTATGTGTCAACTTCTAGCAACTATGAACATAACAATCTTTCAGTTTTACTAAGCACTTTTCTATGCATTCTTTTTATTGTATTCCAAGTTTCAACAGCTTTTATAGATAAATTCTTTTACTCACTTTTTTTTCCCAATCAGTTTTAAAATATGGACTTGTGCATTTTAGCCGCACCATTTTGAGCAAGATTATTGAACAAAGCAAATGCTTTGAATTTTACAAGCGATAGCCACAAAATTTCCATCCGAACAAGAAGCAGAAACTCACTTATAAGCAAATTTATTTATTCGTTCATTTTGAATAAGAAAACCTCATTACTATGCAAAATGCATATATAACAAATGATTTTTTATTGCAATTATTAATCCTCATTTTTTTTCTTTCTTTCTTCACCCCCCTTTTTCGTGTATGTGTGTGTACGTGAGTGGAAAAAAAGATTGCTAAACTTAGCTCAGGTTTTAATTTAGAAGTCAAACAACAAAAATCAATGTTATATTTTCAAATTTTCACAAGAGTTTCGATGGTTTTACCAAACCATCATCCTCAGCTGCCAAAGGGCAAATGAACAAGATAAGATATAGTGATTAGATACGGTAAGAAAGGCTGGACACGAGTTAAGCTACTGGCGCCATCTATTGATGAAACGAGAACTAAAACATAATTTTCTTAAAGGCTCAAGGAAAAGATGGATTCGAATTAGGGTCCTTAACTAGAACAGAAAGATATTTTTGAATGTGAAATGCTTCTAGAAAATCTAATTCACCAATGAAAAGACCGCATTGCCAGTATCAGTGCTATGGCTCACAATCTGAGTGTGGCCAAGCCTATCATCTAGCAAAGGAGGAAACTGGTTTACCAAACTCTCCAACCTGTTCTTCCGCACATAAATCGTTCAGTTCAATCATCGGTGGCTGTGGTCTTTCGTCTTCCAGTTTCTTCATATCCAGTTGTACAGTAGATTCCTGGACGTTCAATTTTGCCCCCCCACCATAGTTAAGAAATCCATATTGAAGATAATGAAAGCTTGTACATTTTTCACGACAAGGAATACGACATTTTGGTATTCATTTTTAACTTGAACAGCTCAAGGCTTCCAAAGCTCAATGCTTGCCTTGAGATGCAATACCTTTTCCTCCTGCCACATCGAATAGTCTATAACTTATAAAGTATTTGCGGAAACAATTTTCTCGTAGAAAATACACTGAGCACCATTGTCTAGCACTGTATCTGCAGGCGCATTATTTAGCAATACCTGCACTACTAGCAATGCCAAAATTTTAACAATTACCATATTTAATTGAATTTTAGAAGGATTTTCTTGCCTTCAGTTCAACTGTACCCTCTTATCTTTAGTACTGCTGCCCAGTTTAAATTTTTATTATTATTTGCCTCCTGTTTTCTCTTTTGACCTTCACTTCGGCGATAGAAGACTTCTGTGTTTCCTTTGTTCTAACATATGTCTCATGTTCATTAACGTGAAATTTCATGGCTCTCTTAGGTTGACCAATGTAAATTAAACCACACTGGCAAGAAATCTTGTAAATACTCCAGGAATTCATATCTGGAATGGGGTCCTTGAGTATGGAACTTGGAATTTTATTGATAGGAGAATAAATGACCTAAAAGTTAAATTTCTGTAAAAACATGATTAACGTGAAAAGGAAGCAACGTTTTATTCTAAAAAGGCGTGCTTGATAAATTTTTAACGTTTATTATGAAATCATGTTATTGAAAGTTTCCAAAACTAGGTCAAACGCTTTTTTGAAACGAGGGCCATCCAGGAAGTAGATTACGTTTCCGTCTGTGTCCGCTAGGGGCGGGGCTAGCGCGGCCATCTTGGGGTCAGAGCGTTGCGCAGCTCAGTCTGCATCTAGCCGTGCTAGTGAGAGGTTCGTGCTGTGCTCCGTTCAGATACTGTGACGGTTTGAAATGTCTGCGTTAATTGAAAATCCCGCGAGCTGCGAGGTGCGCTCAGTAATAAGGTTTCTGACTGCAAAAAACTGTAAACCGATAGAAATCTATCGGCAGCTTCGTGAAGTGTATGGGGACAACATTATCACTGAAGGTGGAGTGCGTCAGTGGGTCATAAGATTTCAAAATGGCCGAACCAATGTTCACGACGAAGATCGAAGTGGGAGACCCAGCATAGTGACCGCCGAACTTCTCGAAAAAGTCGATGCTAAAGTCCGTGAAAATCGAAATTTCACAATAACGGAACTTTCTTTGAGTTTTCCACAAATTTCGCGAAGTTTGTTGCACGAAATCATCAGCGAAAAGCTTGGTTACCACAAGTTTTGTGCAAGATGGATTCCAAAAATCTTGACAGAGGACCACAAAAATCAGCGAATGGCTGCAGCGTTGAACTTTTTGGACGCTTACCATAAGGATGGTGACTCTTTACTCGATCGCATCGTTACTGGTGACGAAACATGGGTGAAACATGTGAACTGTGAAACGAAATTGCAATCAATGCAGTGGGGGCACACAAGTTCTCCCCAAAAACCCAAGAAATGCATGCAAACAATGTCGGCAAGGAAGATGATGGCGACTGTTTTTTGGGACAGAAAAGGTGTAATTTTGGTGGACTTCCTGGAAAGAGGCACTACAATAAACTCTCAAAGGTATTGCCAAACTCTCCAAAAACTCAGAAGAGCAATTCAAAACAAGCGCAGAGGAATGTTGAGCTCTAAGATCTTGTTGATTCACGACAACGCCCGGCCCCACACGGCAAATGTCACTCGTAAAGTTCTTGAATCTTTTAAGTGGGAGTTGTTTCCTCATCCGCCGTACAGTCCCGACCTGGCACCGAGCGACTTCCACCTATTCCCAGCAATGAAGAAGTGGCTGGCTATGCAGCGTTTTGATGACGACGCACAGCTGCAAGAAGAGGTAACGAAGTGGTTGAAGGCGCAGGCGGCCGAATTTTTCGACGAAGGAATTTCCAAGCTCGTACATCGCTACGATAAATGCCTTAATTTGTATGGTGACTATGTAGAAAAGTAGTATTTGAGTGTGGCTTTCATCTGTATATAATAAAATTTGTTTCCTATACTTTGTTTATTTTTTTATTCCAAAACGTAATCTACTTTCTGGATAGCCCTCGTATATCTTAACCAGGTCATAGATTTTTTGAAGATCCAATAAAACGTTTTTCAGTGAAGGAATCTTAAAAAAATATTTTAATTCACGGTAAACCTTTCGAACCTAAGAAGTTAAATTCAATATTGATTCATGCATGTAGATAGCCAGGATGGAACTGAGGGGGCTACCCATGGGTAATCCCTGTTTCCTTGTAATATTTATTTTGGAAAACAAAAAACGTTTGTTTCAAACAGAGTGAGGGAAATTAGCTCATCAATTTTTATGCAAGAGAAATGAAATTCACGGAGTCTGGTTTCTAGACATCTTAATGCACCCTCCACTGGAACATTGGTGAATAATAATTTTACATCAAAAGAAACCATGAATAAATTTCTAGGAGAAATGCTTTTTAACTTTTTTTTTACAAACTCTATTGAATTTTTATGGTGTAAACGTTATTATTTTATAGAGTTGAAAATCTAGAAACTAAATATTTAGCTAACAGGTACGAGGCAGTCCCTAAATTTGATACAATAGGGCGGAAAGGAACACCACTTTTATGAATTTCAGCAAGAGCATATAATCTGGCACAATTCATAACAGATGGGATAAGCGACTGTCTTAAGTTGGTCGAAAGGATTTGTGAAGATTTGATTGCAACTTTTATTTTTGACAGGTCCGAAGGTGAAGGATCTTTAGGAATTGGATTATATGGTCTTTTGTTTAAGAGTTTGGTGACACCATCGATGTAAGTGTTCTTGTTCGTGATGAATATCTAGCCACCTTTGTCGGCCTTTGAAATGATAATATAAAGGTTAGAATGAATTTCATGCATTGTAACTCTTTGTCTTGTGTTTAAATTTCATTTCTAATGCTTATTCTTCAATTTCACACTATGAGTGATAAGATGCCTAACCATTTCTTTCTGTGTATCTGATACTTTACTAAATTTGAAAGATTTTTGATAGGAGCCAAAATCTTTGGAATCAAGGGTTTTTGAGGTTTGTCAGAAGTTAAAATTATATTTCAGAATTCTATCTTGTTCTTCTGATAAAGTAACACAAAAATATTAAGTATTGGCTTAATATTTACAATGGGAAGATTTTTTTTTAACTATTCAAATTGGAAGACTGTAAAAGAAGTTTTTCGAATTTAAATTCAAGGGTGTTTTTATGACGGGTGTTTTATGACATTCTAAGTTCTAGACCAAGACTTTTGTTCAATGGCAGTGAATTTTGGATATAAATTAGTGAGTTACAGATGACGCTTATATAGCTTATGCCAATTTTGGATAACTGTTGATGTGTATCCCATTATGATGGACCAAAGCAAGGCAAGTTTGCAGTTTAACAGAATCCTTGAAATGCGACTGTAAGATTTTTGATTAGATTTGATTTGAATGAAATTGGGGATCAATTTTTTACATTTACACTTTAGTAAAAAGTCAAGGTGATTCAGATATTTCTGCCGTTTCAGGCGTAATTTAATGAAATGATTAATAGATGAAGGCATGATAAACACTGTAGAAAATCAAACTAAATTAATTAACCAATAATAAAGCACAAAACAGTAGTAAAATTTCACACTGAAAATGAATAGAAAACAAAATATTTGCAACTAAAAAGCATGAAATCAGATAAGCAAAGCACAATATGAAATACGAAAAATTAAAATGTGTAAAATGTTAATCAAACTTAAAAAATTGGAAAATATACTCACTGAAACTCATACAATCACAAAATGGCGAACACACCACGTGGAAGAAAGGAAGCAAAAAAATAACCCTGTTTGTGGCTCTGAAACTCATACAATCGAAAATGGCGAAAACCACGTGGGAAAAAAAAAAAAGAAAGCAAAAAAATAAGCCTTTTTGGGGCTCCTATAATTAAGATACAATAATTAAGATTTTTGTTGTTAGCTAAATAAATTTATACTTGTTTGGCATGTTATTGTATCTTAATTAGCTCAGGTTGTTATACTAACATGTAAGTGCCAAAATAATGTTATTTAAATATCAATGGTGAAGCAAATTGTAGCAAATTCAACCATTCAATGACTGAAGTCAAATTCAAATACTGATGACCTCACTTTTACATTCATCATTTAACAAAATTGGAATGCTCAGTATAATCAGTAGATCCCTAAACCTAATCACAAGTTCACTTGAGACCACTGTATAATTTCCACTTCAGTAACTAACAACTCAGCATAAATTTTACAAAATAAAAATGTAAATTATCGATGGTACCAAACATTATTAACACAATAACAAATACCATAATTTAACAGCAATAAATTCATTCTACTGGGCTAAGTTTTCAGGAAATAATTTATATGAATAAAAAAGTATTGTGGCAAAAAATATACAACAATTTAGAAATAATGTATATCTTCAGCACCATTAGTATTCTAGGATTATTTGCATATGACTTAACATTAGTTTTCAGTATCAAATGAAAATTGAAACAAACAGTATATCACACACATAAGAAAAGAATAAAATATCTATTTATGTAAAACAGATTTTAACAATATTACTGAAGATAGAAATTTATACTTACTCTTTCATTAGTAACCTCATTTTAATTTCATGTAACCCACTCAGATAATGTTCGCTAACAATCATCACTCTCTCTAGAATAATGTTAAGAATTATTAAAACATTCTTATTAAATCTATATTTAATAAAACACAGTAATAAAACAACCGGTATTTTTTTTTAAAAAAAATTATTATTGTGGAAGGTTTATGCAAGTCTCTAATTATTTTTTCTGATGAAGAACATGATGATTTCAATTTGTATAGTGACTGTGATACGGAATAATAAGCAATATACAGGTAAAAAGTCTGTTATTTCCTTTCACTATGTACCACACACACAGAGCAAAAAACCATAAGAATATAATAATTATTTATTACATTATATCCCTTTTTGATTTTTGATTGATAATTATTTATTATATTATAGTTATTAAAATTAACTAAATAATAATAGTAATCATATTACCATACAATTATTCTAATTTGTTATTAAGAAATTTTTTTTCAGTGTGCAATAATACACATAAATTTCAGCTCAAAGAAAGAAGGATATGAATTATAATATCAAATAATTAATTAATTATAATAAAATTATAATACAATAATAGTTAGGTATTATGTTTCATTACAAAATAATGTATACACAGAAAAACTAATTCAGAAAACATTTTTATGAATATATTAATAAATAAACAATAAGTATACAAAATTGAACATAATGTAATAAATAAAATTATAATACAATAATAGTTAGGTATTATGTTTCATTACAAAATAATGTATATACAGGAAAACTAATTCAGAAAACATTTTTATGAATATATTAATAAATAAACAATAAGTATACAAAATTGAACATAATGTAATAAAACATATAATTATAAATGATGATCAATATACTGGTTCAGATTACTTAAAAGTAATTTTATGATATCTCTTTAAATGCTGTGGAAATAAACAATGAAAAAGTCCCTGTTACATGATTCAAGTCCATTCACCCTATTTCATGACTAAATTGGTCTGAATAGCACATGCGTGTTTGTGCTCACAGACGCAGCTGTGAATCAAACTATATTTATTCATGAATACTTTTCACAATAATGCACACAGAAATGCTCACCACTTAATCTCTTTATATCAAAAAACTTTTACTAAACGGATATTCTATTTTTAATCATGTACACATGCAAACATTTTATTCTTCAATTTAAGAGTGGCCCCATGATCCCTGTTTTTAATATCAAATTTCTCTGTCAATTTTGCTCATACATGGGTTATAATGGCTACAAAAGTTTTCTTAACATAAGTATAATGCTTAAAAGAACATGTAAAAAGTTGAATTTGTAAAGTTTGTAATTTTTGCAAAATTGATTCTTTTAAATTAAAAAAATTTAAAACATAATTATTTGCTTATTTAAAACATTTTTATAATTACAAATATACATTTACAATAAACAGTTGTGAAAATAAAGGCTGAATAAGTACTTTGTGGATGTGGTACGTATTTTAAAAGCAGAAAATAATTATTTCTAGGCTCACAATGGCTAAGTCAGTACAATTTCAGTAATTCTTCCTGGTACCTCAAGCGGATGGATGCATGTCTATTTACATTGCCTTTATAGGTAATGTTAACACTAACAATATCCTGCAGGCCACTTTATATGATTCATCTTCTTGGATCAACAAATCAGTCAAACTAATTTGGATGCAATATTGGATTTTCTTGAATAAACTGGATTCAAGAAACCAGAATTTGGCTCTTCATATCAAACAATGTGCAAGTTCTTGAATGCAAAAAAGAAGCAATTTTTAGGACCTCAGCTATTTTACTAACTTATTTCAAATACCATACTGTTCGGACTATAGACTTCAGCGTGATCCAAAACTGTTTTTTTAGATACTCAGCAGATTTGAGTTACTAGTGTAATATTGTGTTCATAAGAAATAAATCATAGTTAAAGGGGGAAGATATAATCTCTGTGATGCAACTGTACATGCTGGCTTAAAAAGGAAGATAAAATTTCCTTTAAAAAAGAAATACACTAATACATAAAAAAAGAAGAAAATACCACATTATTAATGTAATAAAAAAAATTTCGGTACTATTCTGTTTTGAGTGCCATAAAAAATCGCCAAACTATTGTTGACACCAGTGTTGCCAAAAATAATTACGGCAACCCTAATGCAAGAAAGGAAGTATAATAGTAAATAACTGCTATCTAAGATTGATGTTTTAATTTAGATGAAATTTTAATTTAATATAATACTTTTTTATTATTACAATTTATATAAAAATTGCTAAACATAATGGATACCTGCATCGCTGTTTCGCTACCGAGTTATTGCTAAAGCATAATTTCATCTCGCTGGTTGTTCAAACATAATTTTCTATAATGAATGAAGCTTTTTCTTTGAAAAAATTCTCGGTAAAGTGCAGAATCGCCCACTTATTTGTTTGCCGCTTTTTACAAGGGTAAAAACAATTGGATTTTTTTCAATTTTCTTTTACTTTTTAAGTGAAAATAGGTCAATCTGTACATAGATAAAGTCAAGGTTGTGCGCAGTGCCTTTTTGTGCAATTCTGGGATTTTTTTTAAAGTGAAAATAGGTTGCTGTGTACATGGATACCGAGTATGTGTAATTCTTAAAAATGCATCAAGCAGTGGGTGATTCTGCACTTTACTCAAAATTCTATTGCAGACTTTTCGTCACAAGCAATTCCCAAATTGTTAAATCCACAGGATATCACGAAAAAAGGATTTAAAATCAAAAAAGGATTTAAAAATTAAACTAGTATTTAAAAATTAAACTAGTATTTCAATGGCACCTTAAGAAATATAGAACTATAAACTTACGCAATCTGAAATGAGTGCGTACGCTAGATTTGGCGTGCTGTTAAATGGGCACATTTGCTAGATTTGGCACTTTTGCGCATACATTTTCGCTGCAATTTTTTTACGGCCCTCAAAACGGAATAGTACCAATTTTTCTTTCACATATTCACATAAATAATTAAACACAAACAAGAAAATTTTAAATATGAAATATTTTATGACATCCTTATTCACAATACACATGATGTATCATGATGATACACATGATGTATGATGGTTTCAAGTTATACCATTCAGTTACCATTCTTAAGGTTGCGAGTTCGAAACCTGTCAAGCCCTTTAAGTTATTATTCTAAATTCTATATAATAAAAATTATTCACAAATTACAAAAATGTATTTAAATTCAAGCACTTCTCATGGTACCTTGATCAACTGCTGAATCCTGAGAAGAATCACCAGGCTACACGCTATGTCGCAACCCATGAATATTTAACGTGATCATTACAGCAGCACAGAAATGAGCTTTTGAAATCTGATGGTCATTTTTGTGGACACTGCATATCAACTGTTCTTACATGATTAAGTAGTCATGCTAATTTGTGAAATTTTCTGATATTTTTTCTAAGTTAAAACCGGTTGATGTGTATATGGAAAAATAGTAGTAAAGTACTTCGTCAACTCTCAGGTGATTGTGATACAGCTTTTTTGAATTTGTGAAATTCTCAGATGCTTTTTAAAGTTAAAACAGGTCAATGTGTACATGTAAGAAAGGGGAGAGACAAGTGTTTTATTAAAAGATTTTTCTTGCACTATTAATTTAGTTAATTTGTGGATGTTTCATATAATTTTCAGGGAAGTGCAGAATTGCGCACTGCTTGGCGCGTTTTTAAGAATTGCATGTACTCGCTATCCATGTACACATTAACCTATTTTCACTTAAAAATAATCATCTCAGAATTGCACAAAAATGGCATTGAGCACTTCCTTTATCCATGTACACATTGACCTATTTTCACTTAAAAAGTCAAAGAAAATTGATAAAAATCCAATTCTTCTTACTCTTGTAAAAAGCACCAACAAATAAGTGGGCGATTTGCCCTTTACCATAATTTTCAAAGTTTTATTATGGGTATTTCTTAGATTTTTAATTTCGTTAACTTGCTGCTGCTTCATGCAATTTTCTGTGTGCTGCATTTTTTAAAAATCTTTACTGTTTTTCATATCCGAGGTTGGCGAAAAATTAACTGCCAATGACTGGTGGTTTTGCAACAGGTTTGAGCAGATAATCTGAGAGTACTCTTTTCAGTACAAAAGTTAAAATTAAAAAAAATAATAATAATAATAAATAAATAAATCATACAGTCATTTAAAATAATAAACATGACTACTTAATCTCTATTTTTGAAAACTGAAGAATCCGTATGTGTGTCCCATTGAACGTGATGGCAGACATTTGACATGTGATACAGAACATTAGTACATAATGAAAAGCTTAGATCTTGGTTTACATATTCTAAAACAAGAATGCAATTTTTTGTACACCCTGCAAGATTTATCAAAAACATGGTGCTGCCGCTATACCATACTACAGGATTCATCAACTGGAAAAAAGTTTTAGCAAGATTAATTGAGCATGAAGCGTCTGGAATCCACAGAGGTGCATGATTAAGTGGAAAGTTTGAGTACAACAATTGAAATCGTGCCAAGGCATTGATCACGATACTGAGCGACTCATTCACGCAGAGAAAGGAAAATAGAGAGAAATTCTATATAGTCATGGATGCGGTACTGTATCTTTCAACAAACTGTCGTTTTTTTGTTGGGTCTGATGAAATACCAAGTAGCCTGCTCACAAAGTGTCCTCGACCTAGCCAAGGAAGTTTTCTGAATTTAATCTCTCCGTTTGCCAAACATAATTCAACTCTTAAATACCAGTCAAAGCACCTAACAAAAGGAATGGAATCATATTTATCAAAGATTATTCAAATAAGTTATTAACTTAAAGGCAAAACAATCTGAAGTAGCATTTTAAACAATATTAAAGAAGCCAAATACTAGACAATAATGCTCGACTGCACTCCATATGTGTCTCGTACAGAAAAATAAGAGCCAGGTGATTCAATATGTAAAAACGTATGGTGATGTGTGTGAGATAAAAGAAAATTTAATTGATTTCATAGAAGTTGTTGGAAAGATAGGAAAATGTATTTCTGAACAAACTGTAGAAAATTAGTGTCTTAACTGACACTTGATGGTTT